CATGGAGTCATGGACACTATAGGTAGTCTTCCTAAATAGATATTTCTATTCGTACTATTTAACATTTTAGTTGATTAAAGATACTCATCAAAAATTTTAATATACTGATTATTGAACAAAGAATATTCTTTTCGATAACTTCGTCTTAATCGGGTTCTACAGTTATATGTCCACTATAATTGAAGAAGCTCTGTTACTAACATCATTAGTGTTTTTGTCTAAATAACAATGAGTCAGCAAGACCAATAGATTAACAGTTTGAAAGCATCTACAAGTGATAATATGCATAAATAAGTCTTACTAAACTGAGTATCAAATAATTTAATAAAAAGTAATACAGAATTTATGAATTTATAGGCTACACACCAGGTCTGGATAGCAGTAGTGGCTGCAGCATCTGTTTCTTTAAAACATATAATTCCGGTTGTTTGAAGTGCACCATGGTGACCACTGCTGTTTGCAGTACTCGCATCTGGATGCCCATCTGTATTTGTAATTTTTTAGTTATTATTCGATTATAGGAAAAGACTCTTCAATGCTAACTTTGTGTTTATTATTTGTTCATTTTTATTCATCTACGTTCCCAGTGGAACATAGGGCTTCAAGGTAGAGGCTTGAAGTTTCGGTAGCAATGGTGTTTATTTTTACGGGATGGGGTTTCTAGCCTCACTCCCAACCATCCCTCTTTACCAGTTATATTCCTGGCTTAGCGAGGTAAAGGAGTGTGTTGGCAGGGTATCGAACGCAGGACCACCTGCGTGGTCGGCGAGCATTCTACCTTTGTGTCACCGGTGTATTTTTCATTATTCAGTCTATAAAACTACACAGTTTAATGTGTGTGTTTTTTGTGTGTGAACGAAATCAGTACGCATCCATGAATTAATTGTGACTAACTGAAATAGTATAGAGTAGCCTGTTGTGTTAATATGTGTTTAAGTCCAGTCATAAATGTGTACAAATTTAATTCATAGTGAGTGATTCCGTAAAACACACTAATCTGTTTAGTTCAAAAATTTAGCTAAACAGGCTTTTTTAATTATGATGATATTAATAATAATCTGTTGTGAAGTTTGAATTCCTTTTTTTCTATTTTATTTATTTTTAATTTACTTCTGTCTTTTTTCACACAATAATACTTGTCGTGTAAATTTCACACTATCCTATTTACTAAGAGTCATTATGTAAGCTACACGGTAAGTACTCTTGAGTTCTAATATGATCTGTGAAATTAAATATTCATGATATAGGGGATATCTTAATTTTGGTTTTAAAACAATTATGTTTGTTTTCAATTAGATCTTCTTCAGGCTTTACTCTATTTTACATACATTTATATATAAAACAAAATTCAACCAATGATGGTGAGTTTGTGCATCAAATAATAATGATAATAATGATGTGGTAAGTGTTTTGAACGTCAGTAATAACGATGATTATAATGATAACAAAATAATGATAATAAGGTGTATGCACGTGATGATAAGAATAACGAAGATAATAATGTGTGTATGTAGGCAATTCAATAAACAAATGAATTGGGTCAGATCTTCGAAGTTACGTAGTACTAAATGTGCAGAGGACAGAGGTGGAACAAACTTCTTTTGGCCTAGGTAAGGTCAAATTAAAACCCTTCCACTCTTTCTTATTTTCCGTTTCCTTCGTGTTTTAATGATACTTATTTAAACTCTGATTGTCTGTCCACTGTGCCTTTAGTATTACGTAACTTTTAAGATTTGAACAAAGCAAGAACTACAGTTTTTGCAGAATGAAGTGGTACCATCTTTTATTTCGTTGCCTTCTCGTCAGCTGCTTACAGGCCGAAGACATTATTAAATACATCTGCAAAAACAACTTCAACATACTTGCACAGAGTTCGTTTTAAACGAAAGATCAATCAAGATATGCAAACAGTGATGATATATATATATATATATATATATATATTAAACATTATTCCGAAGAATAATAATCATACACAATGGAAACTTTTCGGGATTACGCATTCAGATGAGAGATGAAAATATCCAGTTACCAGGGCAAAGAAAGACTGATAAGTGTTTCTTTCTGAACGCAAAAATCAGGTTCCAGGCGCTTGATGGAAATGGCTTCAGCAAACTTGAGCTCTTTTGCCTTTTGATAATTTTGAACGATTTTTCGACGTCCACCTCATGAACTAATTTATTTATTTATTGAATTGCCTACATACACACATTATTATCTTCGTTATTCTTATCATCACGTGCATACACCTTATTATCATTATTTTGTTATCATTATAATCATCGTTATTACTGACGTTCAAAACACTTACCACACCATTATTATCATTATTATTTGATGCACAAACTCACCATCATTGGTTGAATTTTGTTTTATATATAAGTATAGATAAATTAGAGTAAAGCCTGAAGAAGATCTAATTAAAACAATATTGTTCGCTTATATGTCTTGTTCTAATATAAATAATAGGAATGTTTAAAAATTATGCGTGTAACTCGAAGTCATGAGATAGATGTATATTCATACATTATTTTTGTTGGATCCGTGGTTGGTATATTATAGAATATTATCTATTGTTAATAATAATGTGAATCATGTTGACTACTATTAATTGAATTCTGAATGGTAAAAATGAAATAGTTAAGTGATTTAATGTGTATAAATCTATTATTCGATACTGTGTGCCTACTAAATAATAATAATTATTATTGTAAATTTTTAAAAATAATATCCAGTTGTTAAGATCAACAGAATTAGGGTTCCAAAAGATGTAGGAGTGATAAGATGCTTAAAATGTAATACTGAATTGATTATCAGATAAAATTAAGAAGCAAAATTTAGACTACAATTAAAGATCGTTAAAACAATGGTGTAAAAGATTCGGATTTCTGAACACCAGCATCCTGCGTGTGATTAAGTGAGAAATAAACAGCTTTGTTTCAGTCCATGTTGTAGATCCTACACATACGAAGTTGAGTTTAAGAAAACTATTGAAGTTATCGACTTACACTTACCGTACTCCGAAGTATCTCAATTTTGCCTTAAGAGTTTGTCTTTTACGTGTAGCTAGCTGAAACCGTAGGAATCCACCTAGAGAGGCCTGACTTATGTGTTCATAGGAAATTTGTTCAAACACTTTCGCTACCTTGGTCATCATTGTTCTAACTATCTTCAATTATCACATACGTTTTCTTCTTAATTTTATTGGATATCAAATTCACTATTATACATATTTATGTATATTACCATTAATACATGTGTTTTTGAACTATATTCCTACTGATTTTAACAACTTGATACTATTTAAACAAGGACATAATTATTATCAACAGTGACTACTCTTAAAATATAGACAACATCTTCAGCGCAGGTTTTTGATTGTGCTTACATTAAGTCAAATATGATTACGATAATCACTAAGTGTTCAATGTCTGTTTCGTTAATTTTAATACCTTCTAATATTTAGGGTATTTCTCATAGATAAAATACATATGTGTTATACTAAAGTTTTCAACAGAAAACGAAAACTGGTATTTAGTGATTTCATGAAACAGAGGATTTTCTGTTTATTTTTAAAAAAATTTATCATCTTGAAGAAGGGCAGTTCCCCTTTTCAAGTTGACCGCCTACACTCCTATTAAATGATCCTGGTGCTTTTGTGTTTTTTGACGATGATAGGCTGAAATTCTCCTTCATTCGATGCCAGATTTAGGCATTTTTGTTACCTAGTTGTTGATTAGATCACTGAAAAATGCTACAGCAATTACAAGCACACGCATACACCCGCTGATGATAATTAACAGATAGGAAATCCAGGGGTCAGACATATTTTTCCATACTGTTTATCTCTTAATATTCTTTATTCTCTCCTTTGCATTCTCAGTAGAAGATATGGCTTGAAACATTAGACTTTGAAGCTTCTGTAGTGTTTTAACGGGGTGGGGTTGGTGGCTTCATGCTTACTTTTCCCGGTTTTCCGGGGTTACAACTGTCTGGGTCAGATTTAGGCAGTTCCTCAGCTGGGAGTCGAAACCGGACCTATGTATTATCTTTTATGTTTTTCAGAAACTCTATAAAAATTTCCCATGTCATTTTGTACCAACAGAAGGCAAGATACGGAAGCCAAGGCATATTTTTCACTGATCAAACCGCTGTTTATATATATATACAGTTAATATTCTTTAACCAATCACTGAGCGTATGATTTCGCTTTACATCAAACGACATGAAATAGAATGTTCAAATATACATAGTATTCGGTTGCTAATGCAGAATTGAACAGTGTGAATATGTGAGAACAATATTCCATTGGCATACATTGTCTGTATCACACCACCGCTAATGCATCAGTGGCATAGCGGTTAGGCCTCTCGCCGACCATGCACATGGTCATTGGTTCGATCCCCTGCGGACGCAAACCCGATATCAATGGTTGGCCTGCCAAATCAGGCTACCGATATCACATGCTGAAGATTCCATACTCGTACCAAAAATACCGTGTGGAGTCAAGCTATAATCAAAAAACAAAAATAAAAATTAAGATCACATAAATCAACAAGAGATCTATCTGTTGTCAATTAATATTTTATTTATGGACACCCCTGCCCCCTAAATAATTGCACACCTTTGAGGTGATAGTACAAATAGAGATCTATTTGCTGAATTATGTGTTCTTCAGATGTTCTATACAAAATTGACGTTTGTTGTCATTTGTGTGTAGTATATGTTTTGATAGATGGTTGGAGGCAATCGGAAGACACTCGTTAGTAAGGCATATCTGCGACCCTGAAAGGACTGATGTCTCTTCTGCGATTTGAACGGGGTCAACTAGTGCTGTAGTCAGAAGTGTTGCCACTTAAAGGTATTCAGGATTTATTGAGATATAAGCTGACAAATGACTCTTCCCGTGAATGCGTATTTGTTACGCGCTTGTGAATTAAGAATAATGTATCTCAGAGGTCGTCAGGATGACTTGAAGAATACAGAAAATACAGTGCTTTCGGGTGAAGATTATGACAAATTTCTGACTCTGTTTGAAATGTTTTACCCTCGCATGATATATGTAGGATGGTTTTACACGACAGGTTGTATTGACTCTAGGATGAAAAGATAAAGAATGAAATAATCAAGATGTACTGATTACTTCAAGTATCTGGGATGGAATGTCAGTACCAATAGATTGATTTTAGATGAAACTTCAGCATACAAAGACACGTTTGGTACATGCCGATTTCCAACATATATAGAAGACTCAAGGTATCTGGCTATCCATCATAGCCATATGCGTATTATGCTTCGATTTTTTTGTTTATGTGAGACATTACCATGGATATGTTCATTCACTTCGGAATCTCTAGGTGTAACGTTATGGCAAGTTATACTGTTTTTAGAAGTATGGTATTAGTAGATAAAGAAGGTAAGTCAGTAGACGAGGTTGTGAATAGTTATTAGTTGAAATGTATGACTGGAATTTTCCTGCACATGTTGTACTAAACAATGTTTGCTGAAGTATGTAGAATAAGGTTGGAAAAAGTTAAAAGTGTTGAGAGCAAAATAACTTAATAATTCATGCAAACTTTAACTATAACAATTCTGAGGCATTTAATCAGGTATAATTTTTCTGGTTGGGAATTTTTCAAGATCTGATGAATCAAAGGGTGGATAATTGTTATGACGGAGTATTACTGATTTTTAAGTCCGGCTAACTTCACTGGAATGTGCCTGCCTCAAAAACATGACACTTTATCCAACTGACCACTTGACAAATAATTCCCACACTGAGATAGACACAGCCAGACTGGGAAAAACGACGACCTAAATGATAACCTTTATTAGACAAAATACGTGGTGTTTATATTTACAAACCCTCAGAAATTTAAGCCACAAATAAATAAAAAAATCCGATCGGTTTTATAACATCGCAGTATTCATTAAATTATTTCATAAATAAACGTATCAAAACTTTTCAATCAAGTTATCGTATCATTACATACGTAAATCACGACTTGACGGCTGACAAAGTAGCTCGCCCGTCCTACTAGGAGTAAGAAGAGTCAGATTTGTTCACAATGAAACCTTTTCGAAATCCTAAACATTTTAGCAAATATATCTGATGACTGTGGTAATTACTTTTTATTGTTTTAATTCTAGATTACGTACACATATATATAATACATATACACATGAAATGTATGTACATAATGTATATAGTTGCATACTCAAATAAATTGTGGGAGTTTACTGTCGTCGTGTTGTTTTTGTTTTTTTGTAGAAAAAAACTTTTTCTGTGCTACTTCTATCTTAATAACAATTACTCTTAATATTTAATGAATGAATATCATGCTGTAGTCACGAGTGCTAATTTACAACAATATTGATTACGAGATAATAAAATGTAATCACAAGGCTTTACAATCTCTAAATAATAATGCTAATATAATATGTTGTATCAATCCAGTAATGGTATATGTATGTGTATTTGTGCTTCACTTGTTTACAATAGTATTCCTTCATTGAGATATCTTTGAATAGTAGCATAGAAGGGGTCGAAGTAAGGCAAGCTATTGAATCCTCTTAGAACAATAAGACATTGGATATTTAATCTTTCTGCACTACAGTATTTTGCTGACTAATTTCAGTACTATTTGTTTTTGTTTTTGTAGCTTTACAATATTCCATGAATTAGTTTTATTTTCAAGGATTTGAGTGGTTTTAATTTTGATCACGGATTGGTGTCAGTTACAGAACCAGGGAGTACTGAACTCTTCTGTAGTACGCACCCATAACCCCCACCTATTAGGGACCGAACCCAGCATCTTTCGGTTGCGAAGCGAGCTCGTTGATGATTCAGTAACACGGAAGGGACCCAATGGTCCACGAATTTAAACTTCTGTCAATCGTCTGTTTGTAGCGCCACCACCAGCCAATATTATTGGGGAGCATGTGTTCTCAAATAATTTTAGCTGTTTTCCTCTTTTCGAACGTATTACTCCATTTTTATATATTTCAGTGTATATGATCACTTTATTTGATTATTGTTTGTCTTAATGGAACATCTGTTGATAAAAACTATTGAAGTTATTTTAATATCACTCCAATAATGTGTTGTATGCTGACTGATGTTCGTTTGACAGGTGATAACTAGCAGTGTTGGAATGCGACATATATTTTGTCATATTTCCGACTAGTTAACCACAGTTTGGTGTTTGAAATGGTGGATACTGGCTTCAATTCTCAGTGAGGATACCACCACTCAATGGAGATTGCAGCTACATTCAGATGATCAGTGTCAAACTAGGATAAGATTTGAATCCTCCATTCCACCGCTAGTCACCATCTATCAAACAACATCATGTTCATCCTTAGGCGGCCTCGCACTAGGAGCTGACATGTCAACAGAGATTGAATATTTCGGTTTAGTGAAACCATTTGACAGGAAAGTTATTCTTATTAATTGTGTCCAGGTCAATCGGTAAGTTGTTTGTCTGGATTGCTGTTCTCAACATGTGCTCAGCCTCAAAAACAAAAGTACGAAAATATTTTTTTAAAATATACTTCAATATGTTATCTCTTTAAAGTAATTATTCGACTACTTTTCATATAGAATTCTACACTAGGGAAAAGTAAACATTTTTAATTGAATGTATCCAGTTGGACAAGTAATTACATTTTATGATACAATCTATACACGAGGGAACACTTGGACTCAACTGTAGAAATTGAAAACGGATTATGTAAAGGAATAAAAACAGTGGACAGGAGAGTTGTTTTGTCAGGGTTTTGAATTCTTCACCTGTGTCGGTGGTTGAAGGGTTCGAGTACTAGCCAACCACGCCTTATCTGTTTCCGGCTCGATTCCTGGTCGGCACCCTACTAAACCTCGCCTAGATACGTGGTAAGCCCGGAAAACTGGGTATGTTGGGTGTGCGAAAGGGAACACAACAACCTCACGCTGTAAAAACATCACCACCGCTATTGAAACTTCAAAGCTTACAGCTTGTAGCCCTATGTTCCACTAGGAGTGCAAATAAATGAAAAAATGACTGGATGAAGTTCAAAGCCTTCTATGAAGATGCATCGTTTTAATCCATTTATCTTGGAAATTTATATTTAGCACGAAGCCAAAGTAAAAATAGAATAGGCTTTACTAACTAACCTCTTGAGCTGTACTTTCTTCTGCATGTGAATGATTCACTTCCGTCCATCTCTTTTTGTTGTTTTTCTTCTCTCAGCAAATAAAATCTGATGGAGGTTCTTCTTGGTCGTCCAAAAGGAAGTAAATCAAGGCAGGAGAAAACTGCATCGTCATCATTGCCTATCTTACCAAAAGCAGCCCTCCCTTTTCCAATTATACTGAAGGAAGATCTTCAACAGTCAAAACACCATGTCGGTGGTGTTCGTTTGTTTAAGCAGTATCGATTTCAAGCAGTCCTCTTGGATTCTGCAAAGACACTAGTCACTAATGCTGAACAGATTAAAATACTTCAGAAAAGAGTAAGTAAGCAATGTGTATTTTTTTTCTTACTCAAAACATTATGTTCTTATGCATTACTCACTATTTTGAAGAACACCGAGAAAGTTTTCTCTCAAATGTTAGTTTGTAGGGATTCGATTGATTTTAAGTTTGATCACGGCTTGATACCACCTAGAGAAACATTGAAAACCAGGGACTACTGGACAGCTATTTCGTCCACGCTTTGAAATCTTTACTAGTACGCACCCATGACCCCACTGGGTATCGTACCCAGGACGTTTAAGTTACGAGACGATCTTGTCGACCATTCAGCCACTGGGATGGAATTCAATGGCCACGTCATGAATTCAAACTCGTAACAATTTATGATATATAGGGCGAATGCCTGTCAATGTCATCGGTGACTTAGTGGACTCAGCTGGTCGAAACTTCCCACTAGATCTTCAGACAGCTTCATTCCTTAGTAAGTCACTGGTCAATATTAGATTTATTTTCTAGTTACTCATCCGTAAATGTTTAAAAAAATGGCAAAGTACTACTTCATTGTACTTCAGTTCAAGAATATGCTTATTATAAAGCTCAGTAATTTTCGGCTGAATCTCCTATAGCTTTATCTGTGTATCCTGCCCTAGGTTCTCTTAATAAAGACCATATTTGGGATATACAACCCCATGAAATGTCTTCTGACAAGAATCTTTCACATATACAGCGAAGACACATTAGATGGAGAACTGGAGTACTTCCCAAACACTAATTCAGAAATATTATCCACTTGTATTCACTAATAAACATAGTGAAAAGTATAATTGACAATTCTGCAAATGAGAAAAGTTTTAAATAGGACGTGAGATGAAGCCGTGAAATTTAATAGCTGAAATTCTTCGAAGCAGATTAGAGGAAGCATCTCGAAAAACATTCTTTCCTTCATCTCTGTGTCTCCATGCAACCTTTTATTTATCAAAACATCAGAGACAGTGATCCACTGTTGGCAAAGATGAACAAGAGAAAGAGACGCTGAGCTCAACTTACACAGCACTGGACAAAGAAGTGAAGAAGAGTACCAGGAAGGACAAAAGGCAATTCTACGACAACCTGGCTACTGAAGCTGAGAAGGCAGCAGCCGAAAGGGACCTGAGGACACTATATCAGATAACCAAGTCTCTATCCAGGAAGAGATCACCACAAGTGAAACCTATAAAAGACAACAAAGGGAACCAAATTACCAAGGAAGAAAGACAGATTAAACAATGGGCGGACCACTTCAAAGGACTCTTGAACCGACCACCACCTGCAACCCGTCCAGAAACACCAACAACAGCACGTACACAACTGCAAGTTGACACCAATCCTCCAAAGGAAACTGAAGTCTTGAATGCAGTCAAGCTTCTGAAAGCTGGAAAAGCAGCTGGACCAGATGGAATACCTCCTGAAGCACTGAAAGCGGACCCACAGACGACAGCAGATATGATGACTCCATTATTGCAAAAGATCTGGAAAGAGGGAAAGGTGCCTACTGACTGGAGGAAAGGTTACCTCGTGAAACTACCAAAGAAGGGCGACCTAGGACTCTGCAAGAACTGGCGAGGAATCATGCTCCTGTCGACGCCAAGTAAAATTCTGAGTCGCATCATCCTGGAGAGAATAAAGGACGCACTGGATACAGAACTCCGACCAGAACAAGCTGGATTCAGGAAGGGCGAATCATGTTCTGACCAAATTGCAACTCTACGCATTATCATCGAACAAACCATGGGATGGCAATCAAATCTCTACCTCAACTTCATAGACTTTGAGAAGGCCTTCGACAGCGTTGACCGCGAAGTAATTTGGAAACTACTAGAGTACTACGGCGTACCCCAAATATTCATCAACCTTATTCAACAACTGTACGACAACGGCACGTGTCAAGTGATCCACAACGGAAAACTCAGCGAGGCGTTTGGAGTATACACAGGAGTCAGACAAGGGTGCTTATTGTCACGAATGATATTCCTGATTGTGATGGACTGGATTATGCGTCAGACAGTAGGAAACGAGAAGGCAGGGATATCCTGGACCGACGTGAAGTATCTAGAAGACCTGGATTTCGCGGATGATTTATGTTTGATGTCACACAAAATCGAAGACTTACAAGCGAAAATGACAAACTGGTCGAAGAAGGAGCAAAGACAGGACTCCAGGTGAACATAGACAAGACGGAGGTTATGAAAATGACCAACCGACAACAACAACAACAACAGCAACATCCAGCGCCAATCACCATCAACGGGAGGGATTTGAAACAGGTTACTTCATTCACTTATCTAGGAAGCATTGTCTCAACTACAGGGGGAACGGACGAGTATGTCAAATCGGGAATCGGGAAGGCGAGAAACACATTCATCAGCCTGAAACCAATCTGGAAATCTTCGTCACTCAGCATCTACAACAAAATTCGGATTTTCAATGCAAACGTCAAGTCAGTTCTTCTATACGGATCAGAAACTTGGCGGGTCACCAAGAATATTTCCGACAGGCTGCAGACCTTTATCAACAACTGTCTTCGCTCTATACTGAAGATCAGATGGCCGGAAAGAATCACCAACAAAAAGCTATGGGAACGAACAAAACAAGAACCAATCGCCCAACAAATATGCAGGAGGAAGTGGAGATGGATTGGACACTCGCTGAGGAGGCCGCTGGGTGATATCGCACGTCAGGCCCTCGAGTGGAACCCGAAAGGGAAGCGGCGAGTGGGACGTCCAAGGGTGACATGGAGGAGATCGTGTGGAGAGGAGTCGAAAAAGTATGGGACTAACATGGATGCAAGTGAAAAGTGAGGCAGAAGACAGGAGCAAGTGGAGGCGTGCAGTTGAAGCCCTATGTTCCACTAGGAACCCAAGGGAACAATAATAATAATACACATGTATCAGTTCACTTGCTCCTATGGAGCGAAGTAGGTGAACCTTACTAGTAGAATACCGTGGAGATCACCATTCGTTGAGTTTCGTCTTCTGAAAACTCCGGCTTTGGTGGTTTGGACATGTGCTACGAGTATCATCCCAGAGGCTTCCCTACAGGTCTCTGTTCGCTAGCCCTGGGACGGGAGGAAAAAAGCGGAGAGGTGGTCAGCCCATTACTTGGCGTCGTGAGGTGAATGATATTTGTGTTAGGTTAGCATCGGTTGGTGTGTTATTTTAGGACTCCCGGGTTGGAGTTCGAGAGACAGGTCGAATTGGTGGTTCGAAACGTTATCGGATATGGCCAAGAATCGTAATCGGTAAAGAATGTGTTGCAATTTCCTTCTTTCTTCCCTTCCCGACAATAATTGATGAATTATGTTTGAACTTGTTATATGTGACTGCTTCCCCCCCCCTCACCAGATAAAGTACTTTATCTGTTCTCTACCTATATTTTTTTACTTTTCACCTCATATGTAGTTTTATTATTATGACTGTGTGGCGCATCTTTTTGATGCCATATTGTATCAGATTTTTGGTGTTTAAATAAAATTTTAAAAATATGTAATCCATATTGATCATTCGGTTTTTGTTCTCCTCTTATTCATAATTGTGAGGAGAAATAGTTAAAGCAAATGCAAATGAAACTACAACTAATTACTACCAAGATTTTTTATCGATTAATTTGAACTCTTATAAAACACCGAAGTTCTTTTTGTTTTCTACGTCGCCTTCAGCATTTTCTCGCCACCCGACCCTGCGTCCGTCATTTTGTAAAACAGTGTTTACGTGCATATTATTACTTTTAAATTCTTTGATTGTTATTGCTTAGTTCAAAGAATTATTGTCAGTTCATTACATTACATTGCATTATATTGTTACACAGTAATAAAGGTTAAGGAAAGATTTAAATAAAATTCCAGAATACTGCATATCTTTTATTCCCATCCATTTGTTTTCTTTTATTTCTGTCCTTTGCCCATCTCTTTTCTTGTTTCAACTAAAAATACTTCAAGACTGTTCCCCTCCCCCTTTCCCTTTCTCCATCTTCCCTTTTTCATGACACTAATTCCATTAGGATGAAACTGATATCCATCGGGTTATTCAGCAGAGAGTTGTTTTCTCATAGTCATGAAAAACACTAACGACCAAAATCAGTTACTAAAAATATTCAACAGCTGCCATCCTGCAATAAAATTCACTCTAGAAGTGGAATGCAAATCCGAAGTTCCCTTTCTTGATGTGCAACTAACAAGACGACCTGACGGAACCTTAAGAAGGTCAATCCATAGAAAACCTACTTGGAACGGTTAACTAACAAATTTCTACAGCCGAGTGCCTTTTTCGCAAGGAAACGAATTCTGATTAAATCACTTGCCACCCGGATCTGACACATCTGCAGTCCTGATGCCCTGGAAGCAGAACTAGATAATCTGAAAGAAACTTTCATCTTAAATGGATACCCGCTAAGATTCGTCAACGAGAATATCAAACCAAAGGTCCAGAGGAACGAAACACTACTCGTTTCGAAAAAGATGCCTTATATGAATCTGGATTTCAAGGTAGACTTAGCTTGCGATATCCTCAAGAGAAAAATTTCAGCATCTTTGAAAACGACATTCATCGCAGTAACGCTAACAGTGATGTTCTCCAGTCACATATTCATCTGCAGAAGCCTTACGAACAAGATCCTTCATCTAGCCAATTCTATGTGCATATATCAGTTCATCTGTTACTGTGGAGCCAGGTACATTGGTCGTTTGACACGTATCCTATCCAAAAGGATTGAAGAACACTATCCCGCATGCTTGCAAAAGGTAATAGTGGCTCTGTAAGGAGTGTGATGATCGGACATCTCGTCAACACTAGCCATTCCATCTCAACAAACGCCTCCTTCAAAGTGATCTACAAAGTGAAGAACAGCTTACAAAAGAAAATACGCTTTCTTCTCCTTTGTATTGTTGAAGCCTTAGCCATTCAGTTGGAGAAACCAGAGTTATGTATACAAAAGAAAATCATCCAACCACTTCTACTATCATGGTAACAACCGTGTTGACTTCTACTGACTTGATGTTTGTGTGCTTGTTTTTTTCTAACTCCTTATAAAATTTGTAACTTTTGGAACTCTTAAGTAATTCCGTATTTTCCTTTGTTCTATGTGCATCCTAATAACAGTGCATTCATTAAACTCTTCATCTTACTGTGTAATTGTATCACGCTTATTCAACGTTTATATGTTAATAAGTGTTTTTCGATAATAAATCACCGCTACCCTCCTCCTAATTTTCACCCGCTGCCCTAGTTACAGTTTGGTTACTCATTACATTTTTGAAATGTTTTGACAACAGCATCCCTGCCTTACACTTATTCTTATCAGACAAACCCAATGTGCACACAAAAAATAATTAAATATAAATGCGATTTGATAGCTAAGTGAATGAAAGTGGCCTTCGAAAAGAGACTCTTCGTTGAACTACGTGTTCTGTTTTCATTAATGGCTTGTGTTACGCATTTCATTTAATGAAAAAAAGCGTCAGATATGAAACTACTAACATATTGCGAAACAGTAAATAAACGCCTCCTTTTATTCTTCCTATCATATTCATATATTCTTGTCACTATTTCTACCTAATTTTATTTTACTTTCATACTCTTATTGACATTATTGTCAATGTAAATGCCCCTCCCCTCTCGGTATGTAATGACATTGTACTCTATGTTGAAAATTTCACATTTTATCAAAAGTCCTAATTGGAATAAAGCCACTTATTATTATTATTATTATTATTATTATTATTATTATTATTAGGTATAAATAGTTTGTTTTACTAAACTGTGTGTAAAAAATGAAAGCACACTAATTAATTCATACTGACCTGTGTATAATTTTGTATACGCTTTCACGTATTCAGAGATTATATATATATATATATATATATATATATATAGACTATTCTGCATTTTTTGAAACAGTATTTTATCGATTTATTGCTTTTAGTATGCTATGCCATGTTGCTTTCTGACGTGTATGTGTGTACGTATGTTTATTACGTGTGCAGATCTATGCGCGTCATATAAAACATGATTCTTTGTTTTTTTAATTCAGAGCATTTTTAATTAATGACTAATACATTTAATGATATTTACTAATATTATGTATCATCCAAGGGGCAGGATCGCAATTTAGTGAATGAATCATCTTCCAGTACTATTATTCCCTTCGGTTCTGAGTGGGACATAGGACTTCAACAGCTCATCTCCATTTCATCCTGTTCTCTGAATTCCTATTTATTAGCTGTCACCATAATCGCCCATAAGCTTTCATCTCCTCCTGACACGATCTCTTCCATGTCACCATCAGACGCCCAACTCGTCGTTTCACATTCAGGTTCCATTCGAGGGTTTGACTGGCGTGTGATATTATTCAACGGTCTTCTCAATGTGTTACCGATTCATCTTTATTTCCTTCGGCATATTTTTTAGGCGATTGTTTCTTGGTTGGTTCGTAGTGAAATATATGGCGAATTCGTATTATTGGCAGAACCATGGACGATTAGTATTCTCATTGAACAATACTTTTAGTGTGTAAAATGTTTTGTAACAAAACATTGTATCATTTAGAAAGAGTGTGAATGATTGACTAACTGAGTTTCGACATAGAACTTTGCACAGAAGTGCATCAGTCCAATTTTTCTCACTCCATATACTACACAAACGTAAAGGAAAGATAGAAAAAGAGATGCAAAAGAATTATATTAAGCAGAAATATACGGGAGAAAGAATAGTAATATGAAGAAAACATTAGGGTTTAATAGATACGGGAGATCACAAAGAGTGGATGGATCTGCACTACTGATAACAACTTTGAACTATATTACCAATAGTCTTAAGGACCTAAACCAGACGGTCCACACTTCCATACTTGGCTAGCTGAAATCAACAGTCAGTCTTCAGAGATTAGTGACATATTGTGATTTCACCACCTCTGTCGTCTTCCAATTCAGTCTTGTATTTGCTAACATTGCTTGACTACAAGAGAAGTGTCTTGGAATGCATAACACGTATCGTAGCTATTTCAATCGATGGAGCTTCACAACTTCATAGATTCAGTTTCACTCGTTACCTAACACTGTACGCCTGACGTCAATATTGCTCATTATATCACGCCACATAACACGGGAGATAGAACGCAGATAAGTGTGCTCAAAGACAGCTAGTCTTTTCATATGTTCCGCTTTCAGTGGCTGTGTCTCACAGCCATAAAAGAGGACAGAGCAGACCACCGCACAGTACACATGTCCTTTAATCGACATCTACACCAGAACTGATATAAGTTGGCAAATGCCATACGAGCATTTTCTGTCCGTGTTGATATTCCGTCAACAATCGATGCATTGGCTCTGATACAAATTCCCAAATAAGTGAAGTGGTCAACACGCTCTACGACTTCACTATTTATCTCTAAGCAAGGAAGAGAGAGTTATTGAAAAAGGAAAGGAACGGGTAGAAATAGAGGCTGAATAGAACGTTTCTTAGCACAAAGTCCCAGCTTTTCCTAATGGATTGCTAGAGCTTCTGCTCTACGAAAAAGATGTAGGCGAAATCCTTCTTTACCACTGTGATCTTACTGAATATATGACTTTCAATGAAGTCTCTACGAGTACTTAGTCACCAGAAGTAATAATGTTCTGCAGAATCGAACTGTTGACTGTTCTACGCTCTCATTTCAACAACCATGCAGATAGGCTTTTATGAGAGCCTCTAGACAGTGTCCTGATAGTGCGATCTAGGACAAGCGAACTAGTAAATACACATTAAAGTTGCCAACACTGAGGTCCTGTCTCTGACATATTTGGTAAACAATTTGGGTATTTTCCTTCAGCGACATCTCAGCAATAATAATTTACTAAGTTTGCCCTTAATTTCACATTGTTCCTGAAGAGAGTCCTAAACTGAAACAAAATACATGTTGTATGCATTCTTAAGCTTGCAGTGATTCCTCTTGTTGATCATTTTAACTGAAGTTTTGTTTCAAGTGTAAAATAATGCTTTGGGAAAGACTGTTGATGTGATTAGGTTTTAGAATTACTGTTTGTTCCAAGTGTAACATAGGGTTCCGGTGCCACATCTTAATCCCCCTCTGCTCTCTGAAAATCACTTTCAACTGGCTCCAAGTCTGCCCGACAGCTTTCATTTCCTCCTTACATGATCTTTTCTATGTCACCCTCGGGCCCACGCCCAACCTGGTTTTCAATGTCCCCTGCGTGTCTCCTCAGCATATGTCCAATCTACCTATATATATATATATATATATATATATATATATAAAGACATCGATCTTTTGTGATATTACTGACTTTGGTAATCTTCTTCCAACTATAGTTGATTTCGCGGTTTAACTTATTAATCGGTGGGGGGCAGGGTGGGGAAGAAGAACTTAGTGTGTGAATTTCAATTACCATTCAAATAACGTTTTTGCTTTATTAAATAAATAATCACTAAGGCAATATTATTACTTTTCTACAGATCGTTTTTTATCTTTAAACATTAAATGCTTCACTTTCTTTGTGTGTGTGTGTGTGAATATAAACAAAATATTAAAATGTGAAGCAACTGACTCATTTCTCTGTTTGTCATTATTTTATTTTTGAATAAAAGGGCTGTTACGGTACCGGTAAACGTGAGGAATCCGACATTATGCATAAAATCAAGATGTCCAACACCAGGTACGTAAGCCGAGTGATTACATACGATATAAATGCATGTCGAATCCACTTTTTTTCTACGCTAATCAATTTTCAAGTGTTGGTTTACAAGGTTGATCAGGAAGTGAATCCAGTTATAGAACCCTTGAAAACCAGCTATTTCATTTCATTTTGGGACACTTTAGCAACACGCATGCATGATTTACCCCACCAAGGATCGATCCCAGGACGACAGTCGTGCTAAAATTGTGAATAGAGAGAACTAAGTGTTCACGGGCCATTGGATTTCACCTCAGTAGTTGATTGGTCAACGAGATCGCCTTGTAACCTGAAGATCCTGAGTTTCGACTCCCTAGTGTGTGGTGTGATGGGTGCATATGGATGAACAGTCACGATCAGGGACGAAACAGCTATCCAGTACTGCCTGGTGTTTAACGGTCCTTTAACTGGCATAAATCAGTGATCAAACTTGGAAACACTCAACCAGCTAGCTTTCAAATTAATCTAGTGCCCATTAGTGACTAATCATAGGACGAAGTTGAAGTCGGTGGGACAGCGGTGGAATGCTCGCCGACCACGCAGGTGATCCTGCGTTCGATCCCCGGCCGACGCACTTCTTTACCTCGCTAAGCCAGGAATAAAACTGGTAAAGAGGGATGGTTGGGCGTGAGGCTAGAAACCCCATCCCGTAAAAATAAACACCATTGCTACCGAAACTTCAAGCCTCTACCTTGAAGCCCTATGTTCCACTAGGAACGTAAAAGAATAAAATTTAAAAAAATAATAGGATGAAGTTGCCTGAAGTTCCATTGAGAAGTGGTGATCAGTGGGGTCCACTACATCGTAATCTGGTGCAAAGACTCGCCGGTAGCATTTAGCGACAGTCACACTTTGTATCGTGAAGCAGCAGAAGTTGGGCCATAGGATTACATCCCAGTGGTTGAGTGGTGTACGAGTTCTCTTTATAGCCTGAAGGTTATGGGTTCAATTGCTGATGTCTGGTGTCATGTATGCGTGCTGCTAAAGAGTCCCAAGCTAGAACGAACAGCTGCTCATTACTGGTTTCTCTTGAATGGCTGTGTAACTGAAGTCAGTTCATAATGAATCCTGAAATCCCTTTCCAGGCCCACTCTCCTTATTATTATAAATGCAGAATTGGCCAGTGTTTTTCACCTTTTTCCATTCCTTTGCGTTATGAGCGGAATACAGGTTCCCACGCTTGAGGCCCTGCAGTGTCAACGGCTGTGTTGTCGCTTTCATAAGGTGAGGCGCTAGTCTAACATCCAATCTTCCCTTTTTTCGATCTGACTAGCAAGCATTACTGTTTTTGATGTGGACGGTTTTTAACTACTTATATTACAATCAGTAGTATATATATCATCTAGAAGTGAATTCCAAGACAAAATTTTGTTTTATAAGTTTTCAGGCGAACACATTTGGATCTTATTGAATCTAATTTTTTCGTCACTAGACGGCCATGTAATGTGCTACTAAGTTGAAACAGTGAAATTGACACTGGACTGTTAGTTAAAAAATTTTTTGTAACATGGTAATCGGGGCACTACAGTTAATCGAACTCCAGATGATAGTGATAGTCCTCCCTATGGAATCATATCGACTACTCAGATGATAAGGTATTCAGTTATCTTACACACACGGATGGTTTGGAACAGCAGATGCAACTTCTTGCCAGCTATTCACTGATTTGACGAATTGTAGTAATAACTTCTATGATTGGAATGTGACATTGAAACTTGACTGGTTGTTTTTTAACCTAGTAATTAAAATATCAAGTCATTCACGTATATGCTAGTGGTATGTGTATTTTTGTATGACATGTTTTTGTTTCAATTTTAATCATTGCTGTTTTACGATGTACAGCTCTGTCTCTCTTCCTCTGCATTTATTGACTACTAGGTTGTAACCAAAGTCATGCATCTAGGCTTTGGTGTTGATACTGACTGAATTCTGCCAGTCAAGTTTGCAATGTTGAGTCACTAAGTTATATAAGTAGCTTTTCATCATGATACTCTCTGAATTTATATTAGGCGGTTCTATGTTTCCAACTTACTAGTTCGCCGCTCTACTAACAGTTACGAGATGCCTGTCCATTATATTATTCATAAGGATAACTCATAGATCAAATCGCAATTTGAAAGTTAATTCACAATTTACCCAGTTCGAGGTGATTATTCCAACACAGTTGCCTCTGAAGACGTAGAATATTCAGACTACAATGTGTGTGGGTTCTGCTTGATACCACATATGATGATAATCAACGAAGCAAACATAAATGCACAAAACTATGTCCTACTAAATCATGGAGATGAACAGTTGCGTAACACTCACACCAACCATAAACATAAATTACATAATAATCATTATCAGTTACTACAGTTATGCGCAGAATACTTATAAAGAAGCTTATACTATAATTAGAATGTTTCATAAACTAAAAATAGAAATACAAAGTACGGTATTACAGAATCAGATGTTGACCTAACATCTAATTAGATCATTAATGCCATACATTTTAACTACATCCTCGTGTGCGTCAGTGGCACAGCGGTTAGGATGCTCGCCGACCGTGCACATGGTTCGGTCCCCAGCCGACGCACTCCTTTACTTCGCCAAACCAGTAATAATGAAAGTTGGTAAAGAGGAAAGGTTGGTCATGAGGCTAGAAACCCCATCCTGTAAAAATAAACACTGCTACGGAAACTTCAAGCCACTATCTTGAAGCTCTGTGTTCCACTGGGAACGTGAAGCAATAAGATTTAAAAAATTAATTAATTAACTACACCCTCACTGGAATGAAGAAATGTTAACTTGTTTGAACCTCATGATGTATGATATTATTGGGTAGGTATGCACTACAACTCATTGAATTTGGCTAGGTAGGATTATTTTAAAAATATGAAATGTTCACTCTTATTCATATTAGTCAGATCTCACATTTGTGGAGCTCCGGGGATTTGAAGCTTAACCCCGTCACCTAAACAAGTTCAGGTTACTGAGCTGTACTGTAGACTTATCAAACTGACACTTTTTCTGGTGGCTATGGTGATCAGAGAAAAGCATGCAGTAAACCTTAGCAGCCTCTTTAAAAGTAGAATTATAAATAATAATAATAGTAAGGTAAACTTCTATAACCTCTTTCAGAGGAAACAGTTATTTGGCATTAAGATTTTGGTGTGTGTTTTTGTGAATGACGCTTATGGATGTTTAACTGATGTCTCACTTTTCAGTTCATCCTATCAATGGTGGGTTTTGTAATGACAGCTTTAATTTAGCATGTGTTTATGAATTTTTTACAAAAAATGTATGCATAAGCCTTCATACTACTGACTGATTGAGGTGAGCATCTGTATACTACTTACAGCCAGCGAGCCAGATCGATGTGGTTGATGTGAGTCGTATAGAAATAGTCATCATAATCAATCAGTGGTATGTAGTATTATGCGAATGTCTTTGCTTTCTTGATTGCCACTTATGGTATTAAGCATATCACATTTTGTGATCTGGAAATTTTCCGTTTCCAAAGGAAGCTATGGTGCAGTCTCACCTCAAACTATGTAAACTGTAAGTTAATTTGCCAATCGCGGATCTGATAAATATAAAATTTAATCTGGTTGAGAATTCTAGTTGGTGCAAAAGAATGTAGTATTCTACTGATTGTGTTGCCAAAAATATGACTACCAATCATTGGATGATAGGTTTTAATGCCCCTCGGTACACTAAAGTTCGCGCAGTGGATGAAGATTTTAATTTGCTGATTGGTGTCAGGTAACTGAAATATATTTACCAATCGCAGAACGCGTGAGTTGCCTACATTGATTAGGCGTCGTGCTTGTAACCTGTATAGACAACATAGCAGTCAGAGAATTCTGATTGGTAGATACATTTCAGTTAGCTGGTATTAGAACCAATCACCTGATTAATGCTTTTATCCACTGTTTCAATTCTAACCAATCTGTTAGTTTTGTTGTGATTCTCTATCTATACGCTTTCGTGCATAGACTATCAGTCACACGTGTAGAGACTAAGTATACTGTCGACATCAGCTGGCGAATTCAACCCAATACTTTTGGCGATAATTAGATTTTGAATCACAACATTTCTGAACAGCATTCGCACACTTTCAACCACTATGATCAATTATTTCAAACATTTCACAATATTTGGTGCTTTAACTCTCCGACTTAAGATCATTTTCAAAGACTATAAATATTAGCATTACAAATACTCTGGTAATCAATTAGATTTGTCTTCCTGATTTGTTATAGAATGTCTTTCCTCTCTTTGAGAACACAATATTCAGCGAAGAGACTCTTTTCAACGAATTTATTATCAAGCTGTACAATCGTATATATATGGTTTTTTTTATAAAACTATGATCATAATCACAAATATTTTAATTGCATTTCATACTATTATTATTTCATGTATTCATACCTTTGACCTAATTCCCTCACCGGATATAATTTTTATAAAAAAAACATATATATACGGTTGTACAGCTTGATAATAAATTCGTTGGAAAGAGTCTCTTCGCTGAATATTGTGTTCTTAATGCTACAATGGGAATTATTAAATTATTTCCTCTTTTTCACGATCGCGCATTTTTTTCAATCGATAACATAGATCAATCAAAAAACAAGCTATCAGGAGGTTTGAATAAATTCTAAAAGTTTCATTTATGCAACTCCAGTTCATAAATTTTTTTGCAGTGTTATGTACTAACAGTATTTCATCGAATTTTTCTGACATATCAAGTTTGATCACTGGTTGATATTGGTTCTATAACAGTTAGTACATAACACTGTAAAAAACGGGTCCGTTCGAAGAAAGAAGAATGGCGTTACCCGTCGTTGTCTTTTCATAGTCTCCCCTTACTCTCCAACCGACTGCAGTTCGGATGGGTTAAAGGATGATTTTTACCAGAAACTGCCTAGTTTACTGCGAGAAGCGAAACGCTCAGACATAATCGTTTTAGCGGTCGACTTCATATTTTTTAACAAGAAAGCGCCAGTCGACTCCGTCGACTTTGGTATCTTCAGCAGTTCATACCCTCTACCTCACCGGGAATCGAACCCAAAACCCTTTAGGTTACGAGGAGCAACTGGTTGACTGGGCTGGAATTGAATGACCCGGTTGCTGCTTATGTATGCAGAGTTTGTGTAATGTATTTGAATTAGCTGACCCAACCTAGTGAGAAACAGCTCTCCAGGATTCTCAATAGTCCTCTAGCTAATGTTACTTCTTCATCTAACTTGAAAATAATCAAAACTCTAAAAATTCAATACTTGAAAATTCTGAAGTCGTTTGGTGGATGATGACTAACAGCAGTGGAATCCTACTTGTGACCCGTCCTCTAGGATGTGCCTTCATTCCCCAGTGAGTGAACGATAGTGTTCCAGCCGAGGCTCGAAACCAGTGCCCAACATGTGTTACGTGTACCAAGACATCGCCTTCCTCGACGGGCAATGTTAGCTGACTGACATAGGATCAGGTTGAATAAGAGCCAGTGGTAGTCGAACCAAAACATGGCTTCATCAGTCAGTGAAATCCACAACAGTTAGTTTAAGCCAGTCACGTGGGTAGATGTCGACTTCCTGACTGGTTGGGGTCTTTGGGATGGTAAAAGCCAATGGCTGGAGAAAATCGGTGATACGACTCAAAATCGTTTTCAATGGCTGGCGCAGATGCATTCACTCTGTATGATTTACTACATCCAATAATACTCTATTAATTTTTCATATTACTATTCTTTTTACCTCATATTTCTGTTTATTATCTCTCTTGCTTTGTGTGCAACATGGAGGGAGTGTGGCAACTCGAAGTGCTGCAAATCTGTACAAATTTCTATGTTTAAACCAGTCAGTCCGTTAGAAAACCATTTAAAGCCAGGGGGTACTGGGTAGTTTCGTCCGAGTTTGGGACTCTTCAGAGACACTCACCCATGACCCCACTGGGGATCAAAGCTAGTCTGTAAGCAAACTTGAAACCTATAAAACACTTTTATTTTGTTGATTTCATGGTTGATCTAGCTAGGAGATGGCATCAGTTTCAAGAACCACATTAAAAACCAGTGGGCATTAGGCAGTTATTTCACCCTAGGTCAAGATTCTTCAACTGTAAAACTATTACAAACTAATCCTTAAATTCTTGCACTAAAAAAGAACAGATTAACAGTTATGCAGTGAACCGCGATCAAATGACTCATATTTCCCAGTTTCTGCCAAAATAGCTCTTCAATATAGGCTCCCTACTTCTTAATGGTTTGTTCAGCTTATTTCATTTTGTGATAAAATCACTATTTCAAGTTTTTTTCTCACCCTCATCGATGACATTTCTCTCTTTCCATATTCTACTAGAGATTATGATACAGACGACGATGATGATGATGATGATGATTGCAACGATGAAAGTGGGAATACATCAGACACAGATAGTCCACTTGACAGTAATTTCTTCAGTACTTATTCTAAAACAAATGAAACTATTCTCAAAAAAGCAGATGTAACACAGTTAGTTTTAAGTGATGTCGAAGTATGTTTTACCTGTGTAATTTTGTAAATATATATATATATATGATGGAAAAGATTTATAGCTCAGATGGATGATTTTTGTGTAGTTGTGCTCTCTGAGCTGCATAGTTTAGTTTGAAGCTCTCTTTGTGTTACTAGACAGCATCCTTAGCGTGTACTTCAATAGGCTTTTAAAACTCTCCACGAGTTAACCAGTCATCTCTTTTGGTGACCTTGAGCGTGATTGGTTGTTTTTGTATAAGTGGATCGAGTTATTAATACTGTACCGCCACCTGTTATATTTAATAAACTTATCAAATATGGAATAAAGTTCTACCACAATGTCCAAATTGTGCACCTACATTGACGCTAAATTAATATCTTCTTAACTTGAGGAAAATTCTAAAGGCATTTGAAAGAAGAAATGTGAATATTTTTCTTCTGTTTATAATATGAAAAATGGAAGCGTCTTGAATACAAAGTCAATTATAATTAAAGACGAAAGTGTTTTAAAATTAGCGTTAACTGAACAAAAAGACCTAGGCTGCCATTATTATTATGCATGACTTTGATATTTCATCTGATTTCACAGTACTAATTCTTCTGTCTGCTTGAGAATATTTTCTGAAGAAGATAAGAATATTATTCATGTCTACTTAGAGAATGTTTTCACCAATGGATTCTTAGGATAATAATAATAATAATAATCTGCATTCTAAGATGGATTCTTCTAGTTTCCTGTTAACTTCATACAATTTTTTTCATCAATAATCTGGAACAAATGAAAAACAATAAATGTGTAGAAGGATAATATGAGCTCCTTATTTTGTTGTTGTTATTTCACGGATTCTTTTCATCCCTACCTACAACTTGAATCAAATTCATAATTTACAAATTAATTTGCAGTTTACACAGTTTGAGGAGGTGAAATCTCACCAGCCACAGTTCTAAGTGGAAACCAAAATTATTCATACCATTACAATATATTTGATCTCCTTGATATTATAAATGGTGATCAAGAAGGAAAGTATACTTGCATAAAACTATATACTACTGATTGATTGAGATGAGAAGTTCTGCATCGCCCACATGAACCAGTAGTGCTTGTTAGCCGCTGAGATCGAAGTGATCTGAACACACGGAATCGGGTGATTTGAACTGATTCCACTGTCTGAGCTGAGTCAAATCGGGTACACCGATGATAAACTAGATATGAAACGAGCGAAACGGCCATCACGGTGTTTGAATCGCTTGGTTGAAACAAATCACACGCTAATTGTTCTTCCTTTGTTCAAGCTTCTGTTAACTGTTCAGATTCATTGTTTCAGAATGCGCACACGATACAGTGGATTATTTGCGTCTTGAAGATTTTCCTATTCCCTGAAGTTTGACTCGTACTTCTGGAGGCTATAAGTGTACTATGTAGGGTGCATCAAGATTAGATGTATGAGACAACTGTTGTGTTTCTTGGTATTCCTTTGCTTTCCGCGTGGAACGCACGGCTGTAAGCTTGAGCTTTGAAGTTTCAGTAGCTCAGAAAGCATAAACACACTTTGAAGTGATATATATTTTATGGAAAAGAGTATTTTTGGCAACCGATAGTTTAAAAAGGCAATCGCATAAGTGTGCAGTGGTAACAAGCCAGCTGCTAATTTTTATTCTTCTGTAATAGGTTTTGGTTTATGAAATGGTTGTATGAAATTAGTCTTTAGTTCTTTCCTTGTACACCCCTTCCTGTGTACTTTCTCTTGGCTTAGTTGAATAATCTCCGTTGGAAATAATGAAATTATCTTTTTCTCTTATCATTAATTATTAGAACTCGATGAAACTTCTCTCATACTATAAGCTTTTAAAACAAACGAAGAAAATCAATTCTCAATTGTTCAATTAACATTGAATAGCATTTTGCTTTTTACTATTTTGAACAAATTTTATAATCATCATAATTAGTTTAGTGTGTTCAATCCTACCTAAAGAATTATAAATGCATTATGCGGCTTGTTACATTTATACATACATTTCTAACTGTGCGCTTTATATTTTTAGACATTATTTCTGTTACATGGACTTGGTTGTCTAGATGTCTACCTGCCAACTGATGCCAGCTTACAGTCAAATGCAAGTACTGAAACTCAACCTTTGAAACCATTATCTCTGGTAAGTAAAAAAGCACTGAATAAAGTTTTTTGTGTGTATACACTGATGTAACCTCGCCTAGTTAACTAGCTCGCTAGTTTTCTAGCCGGTCCCAAGCCCGGGTAAAGATGGAGGGTTGGGCGTGGGGTTAGCAACCCCACACCACTAAATCTTTCAAACTGCTAGAGAAATACTCAGAAAGTATATTAAAAATACAAAAACTTCAAATAACAACAATCTTATTCTTCGATCGAATCGGAGAGGCGAAATGACGCTGGCTGGTGAAAGCCTTCGAGAAGCTAATCAGCTGATGTGTCTTCTCTCGATGAAAGCAAGGGCAAGAATGAGTATGTGGAATGTCCGTACAATGTACGAGACTGGGAAGGCTGCCCAGGTAGCCAAAAAGATGTGAAGGTATGGAATAGAAGTTCTGGGTATCTGCGAAAGCAGATGGAATGGATGTGGATTGAGAAGGCTGTCAACGGGAAAATTAATAATCTACTCTACAACAACCACGAACACGCTGAGGGAGTGGCTGTGATGATGTCACCAGTGGAATCTAAAGCCCTAATATAGTGGGTACCAATTTCATCCACGATCATGACAGCAAGATTCAACTCCAAAGGAAGGAAGGAAGGTAACAATTATCCAATGCTACGCACCTAAAAACAACTCGGAACAAGAAAAGAAGGAAGACTTTTACAAACAACTACAAGCAGTAATGGACAACATCCCAAATGGAAACATCAAAATCCTCATGGGGAATATGAATGCTTCCCAAAACGGGAGCAGATAATACAGGAATAGAACTCATCATGGGTCGAGAGGCGCTCGGAGAAATGAATGAGAACAGAGAATTATTCGCAGACTTCTGCTCTGTCAACGATTTGGTGATCGGAGGGAGCGTGTACAAATAAAAAAATATACACAATGCAACATTAATTTCGCCTGATGAACACACCACAAACCAGATAGATTTCATCTCAATCTCAAGGAAGTAGAGATGCAGCTAGCCTACTGGACACAAAGTCAGGAAGGGGAGCAGATGTGGGCTCAGATCATCATCTAGTTCAAGGAACCTTCCAGGTGAAGCTGAAATCCACGAAAACAAGTAAAGACAGACCACAATTCATGTTCAACATTCAGAAACTGTAGGATAAAACTACGAGAGATGCCTTTGCTACAGATCAGATCAGAGCTAAGCCGGACACACTACGTGACATCCGTGAGGAAACCTGTGTGGAAGAACATTGGAACTCTCTGAAAACGATATTTAAGGAAACGTGTACAACTGTTCTAGGAAGAAGGAAGAGACAAGACTAGGAATGGCTGTCAACGGATGCCTGGAAGCTAATCGAGGAGAGGAGGATGGTGAAAGAGAAGATAACTAAATGCAAATATGGACAACAGAAGGAGAAGCTGAGTGCAATGTACACTGCACTGAATAAAGAAGTGAAGGAGAGTGCTATAAAAGACAAACAACAATTCTATGACACACTGGCAACTGGAGTAGAGCAGGCGAAAGGGACATCAGGACACTATCACATAACCAAGTCCCTATCTGGGTAGAGATAAACTCAGATGACAAAACCAATAAAAGATGCTCAAGGGAACCCGATCACCAAGGAGAAGAAACAAATCAAACAATAGGCCGATCACTTTGAAGAATTCTTGAATCAACCACCACCGGCAACTCGCCCAGAAATACCACAAACTGCACGCACAGAACTGCCGATGGACATCACTTCTCCAACGAAAGAAGAAATCCTGAATGCGATCAAGCTACAGAAGTCCGGGAAGGTAGCAGAACCAGACAGCATCCCTCCCGAAGCCCTGAAGACGGCCCCAGAGACTACGGCAGATGTTCTCACTCCATTACTGCAAAATGTTTGGAAAGAAGGAAAGGTGCCTACTGATTGGAAGAAGGGTTGCCTCGTCAAACTAGCAAAGAAGGGCGACTTACGCCACTGCAAGAACTGGCGTGGAATTATGCTCTTGTACACGCAAAGTAAAATATTGTGTCGCATCATCAGGCAGAGAATAAGGGATGCACTGAATACAGAACTCCGCCAACCGGAACAAGCTGGATTCAGGAAAAGCAACTCGTATGCTGATCAAATTGCAACTCTACTCATTTTCATCGAATAAAACATGAAATGGCACTGAAACCTCTACCTCAATTTCATCGACTTCGAAAAGGCCAACGATAGCGTTGACCACTAAGTAATTTGGAAACTGCTTCAACACTACGGCATGCAGTACCCAAGTCTTTATCAACCTCATTTGACAGCTGACTATGTGATAGTGTCACGTGCCAGGTGATCTACAACGGAAAACTCAGAGAGGAGGTCGAAGTGAATACAGGAGTAAGACAAGGCGGCCGATTACCACTGATGATATTCTTAATTTCGGTGGACTGGATTATGCGTCAGACTGTGCAAAGGTGAGAAGACAGGAACACGCTGCACTGACCAATCAGATGGCTCTAGAAGATCTGTATTTCGCAGATGACTTATGTAAAATGTCACATAAACTCGAGGACTTAAAGCAAGCGAAAACCAATAAACCGGCTGAAGAAGCTGCCAGCGAAGACAGGACTCCAGGTGAACATAGAGAAGGCGGAGGTGATATAAATAACCAACCGACAGCAACAACAACCAGCACCAACCACCATCAATGTGAGAAATTTGACAGAGGAAGCACGGTTTCAACTACAGGCGGAACGGATGAGATGTCAAAGTCAGAATCGGAAAGGCAAGATACGCCTTCATCAACCTAAAGTCAGTTTGGAAATCTTCCGCACCCAGCTTAGGGAACAAGATCCGCATTTTCAACACTAATGTGAAGTCAATCAGTTCTTCCATACGGGTGAGAAACTTGTACTGCGTGCCACGAAAAGGATTTCCAATGGATTGCAGGATTTTATCGACAGCTGCCTTCACTGGCTCCATACTGAAGATCAAATGGCTAGGGGAAAAGAATTAGCAACAAGAAACTACGGGAACAAACCGATTAAGAACCTATCGTTCAACAAATGTATAAGCGTAAATGGAGATGGATAGGGCACACACTGAGGGGGCTGTGGAATGACATCGCGCGCAATGCAGGCCATAGTTCGAGTGGAAAGCAAATAGGGAACGACGGTTAGGTCATCCGAGGGGGATATGTGGGCGATCGTGAGAGGAGGAGAAGAGAGATTTGGGCAATCGTGGACCTAGTTGAAGAGGACAGCAGAAAACAGAACAAGGCGGAGATTTGTTGCTGAAGCCCTATGTTCCACTTGGAACCCAAGAGAATAATGGTAATATTTTGAGAGTAATTGCTATTGATAATATCGACGTTTCTTATTTGAATAATATCAAGTTGTTAAGATCAATAGAACTGCAGTTGATAAGCGCATGTGTAAGTGATAATATGCAAGAAAAATTGAATATCTGATGCAGTTAAAAGAGAATTAAGGCGACATATTAAGATAGTTAAAAGGTTTAGATAGAAAGCGAAGTTGTCAGATTATTACAATCAAGTAATGATAACCAAAGTGAGATAAGCGTCTGAATGAACTTCTTCTGAATACATAAGTTAGGCTTCTTCATGCGAATTCCCGCGGCTGAAGCAATTTATAAAAGACGAACTCGTAAGATAAAATAAAGAATAATCGGAATGTGATAGACAACTTCCTAGAACTCTAGCACTGAGGGTGTCAGTTGTTTTTATGTAAATTAATTCGCATTTCCCGTTGATTTATTTCCTTGAGGCTAAACAGAACGAAATGCTTGGTTAATTCTCAACGTTCAACACACGCCAACGATAGGGCTTAATTTCAAATGTTTACTTTCAATTTTCGGAAAGATTAAAATGTCCAATTCATGTCTCTTTTCTTCTCTTTTGTGTATATTTCTTTCTTTATTCAAAAGGTATTACTCTGGTTACATCTGTGTACAGGATCCATTGATATACCCTGTTTACAAATACAAACAGCTCGTGATCAAATTGAAAAATATTCAGAAAGAGAAATAAATTTATTACGTCGTTATGCTGTGTACATATATTACAGATCTAAAGGTTGGATTGTACGTTCAGGTGCATGTGTAGGCGGTGCTGATTATCTTCTTTATGCTGAATCTCCTGACCTTAGACATGCTGCATTTTGTGTTCTAGTAGATTCTAGTGATTCAAAAGCTACTACAGATAAAGAACAAATGAATTGTGCTAGTGTAGCAGCACATGTTCGTGTCGCACATGCAATTGGCAAAGTAAGTCTGATATTGATGTATATTAGCAAATAGAAACAATGTAGGTTTGTAAACCATCAAAATTAACGGTAATTAAACTTGTTTTGTCTTATTCACCTGTAACGAGAGCATAAGCACAGCTCACTGTAAGACTTAGTGACAATCAGAAGAAAAGAAACTTTTTCCACTTACGATCAAAATGACTAAAGGTTAGTCCATGCATACACATACCAGACAGAGTTCCTTCGGAAACACTAAAAACAGATCCAGAGACCTCAATGGATATTTTCATGCAGGTATTGCGGAAGGTTTTGAAGGAGGGAAAAGTACCTACTGACTGAAAGAAGGGACCACCTTGTCAAATTACCAAAGGGTGACCGAAGTCTTTACAAAATCTGTCGCAGAATCATGTTCCTGGCCACCTCAAGTATACTATTAAGTCACGTTATCATCTAGATACTTAAGGATGCTCTTGATGCAAATCTAATCCCGAAATTAGCTGGGTTCGGGAATAGCAAATCATCTGCAGAACAAATTGCAATCCTACGCATCATCGTTGAACATGGCGTAGAATGATAGTCAAGTTTCTGCATCAATTTCATCGACTTTGAAGGGGCCTTCGACAGCATTGACCGTGAATTAATTTGAACACTCCTTCAACACTACTCCGTGTTCTAAATTTTTATCGTACTCATTCAACAGCTGTATGATGATTCTATACGTCAAGTGACTCACGACGTAAAGCTCATCGAAGCTTTTGAAGTGATTATAAGAGTAAGACAAGGCCGCCTACTATCTTTGATAATATTCCTGAGTGTGGTGGTCTGGGTCATCCGACAGGTCTCGGAGAGCGGGAAGACAGGAATACATCGGGTCAACAAGATGACTCTAAACGATCTGAACTTCGCGGACAATTTATGTCTAATGTCACACAAGCTCAAAGACTTACAGGCGAAAATTTACAAGTAGTGAGAAGAAGAGGTGAAGACTGGAATTCAAGTGAACATAAGAAGACACACAACACAATCACTGTTAACGGGGAATCTCGAAGGAAGCCACTGCTTTGACTTATTAGGTCAGCATCTGATATGTATCCACAATCTGTCTCATTAGTCTGTTATTCAAATAAAAATAAATCACCCGTCTCATGATGGTCATCAACCAGTTAGAATCCAGCATGCAGTTAACGCCTACAATTTCACTCTTATGACTGAATTAATATATGCCAATGTATTTTTAGACTTTTGGTCACTTTTTCTCCCAATTGTTTCGTAAATACACGTTTCTAACCCCACTGTGTGAGTCCTCTGGATTTCTATTAGTTAGGGTCAGGGGATATTCGATCAGGAAATTATCAAGTGTTCATATCGTCAGTTTACATTCGTACTCACACTTGGTGACATCATAATAACACCGTTTTAAATACAGGGGGCACGGATAAGGATGACAGTGGTAGATTCAGAAATGTAAGATAGACCTTCGTTAATGTGAAGTCCGTGTAGAAATCTGCTGCACTCAGCAGCAATGTGAACAATTTAACAGAAGTGATATGTTTTAGGAAAAATTTGTAGATGTCCAGTCTTATATAAATAACGTACTTTCATCAAAGTGTAATAGGCGTCAACATGATTTTACATACTACTGGTTAACATGAGGAGTCGAGAATGACTCATGTCACGCAGAAGTATTAGCTGGCGGGATCGAAGTGATATAAACACCGGACGGCCATTTTCCCATTTGGACCTGAACTTATCAGCGGTGTAGAAGGTTTTTCCAACCCAGCGAGCCGAACTAGTCGTATCACAATTGGTTATTAATTAGTAAGTACCATAATGATATATCGCGTGCTTTTTTCATCGTTATTTACGACATCAAGTAGTCCCCATACTGTGATATGAATAGTTCAGCTTTACAAAGGAAATTGTGATGATTAGTGATTTGGAACTGTGTAATTCGCAAATGACAAATTCAATTCAATGTATTAACAGTTCTTCCAAGCAGCTAACTAGCTAGAATTCGAGTAGTTTAAAATGATTCGACTCTTCTAGCTGGATCAATCCGCTGATAAAATTGACTGTAAAAGGCAAGGAATATATGTCCACATTCTGCTTACTACAAGATATTTCATACATTTATTCCCCTTAATGAATTTGTACAAAACAAGAACTACAGTTTTTGCAAAATAAAGTGGTACCATCTTTTATTTCGTTGCCTTCTCGTCAGCTGCTTACAGGCCGAAGACATTATTAAATACATCTACAAAAACAACTTCAACATACTTGCACAGAGTTCGTTTTAAACAAAAGATCAATCAAGATATGCAAACAGTAATGATATATATATTTATATGTATATATATATTAAACATTATTCCGAAGAATAATAATCATACACAATGGAAACTTTTCGGGATTACGCATTCAGATGAAAGAGAGATGAAAATATCCAGTTACCAAGGCAAAGAAAGATTGATAACCGCTTCTTTCGGGACGCATAAATCAGGCTTCAGGCGCTTGACGGAAATGGCTTCAGCAAACTTGAGGAGAATTGAACTCTTTTGCCTATTGATAATTTTGAACGACTTTTCGACGTCCACTTAATGACCCGTGTCAAGGAGATGTCTGTCGATGGCACTGTTTAAAGCATTTGTTCATTTTAGACATAAGCTTTTCGGTACATGTTCAGAAAATCGGAGGTATGTCCTTCTTTCTGTTCTCCCAATGTAACTACTCCCGCAGATACATGTAAATTTTTATATACAGTGTGAGTTAACATGAGAAGGATATCTACCGATTTTTGATTGCACCAAAGAGCAAGTTGTTCGATAGACGGGGACGAGCTTAGCTGCAGGATAGGATATGGCTATTGATATTTCAATGTTAGGTCTATAGGTAGTTAATGATTAGAAAACTAGCCAATGATTTCTTTCGTGATGCGGTGTTCGGTCCCCGGCGAACGCACTCGCAAGACCTCGTGCAGTCTAAATTAACCTCAGTAAAGAGGAAAGGTTAAATGTGAGGCCAGCGACCGCACCCCGTAAAAACAAAACACCACTACCACTGAAACTTCATAGCTGAAGCTTGAAACCCTGCTTTCCACTCAGAACGCAAAGGAATAAAATAATTTCAGTATAAAGCATCCGTTGTGCTCAGCTTATTTATGTATGGTCAATCATCAGCGATTTATTAATATTATTTTTGTTCCTAGTGGAACATAGGGCTTCAACTGCACGTCTCCACTTGCTCCTGTCTTCTGCCGTACTTTTCACTTGCATCCATGTTAGTCCCATACTTTTTCGACTCCTCTCCACACGATCTCCTCCATGTCACCCTTGGACGTCCCACCCACCGCTTCCCTTTCAGGTTCCACTCGAGCAATGGCCTGACGTGCGATGTCACCCAGCGGCCTCCTCAGCGAGTGTCCAATCCATCTCCACTTCCTCCTGCATACTTGTTGGGCGATTGGTTCTTGTTTCGTTTGTTTGTTCCCATAGTTTCTTGTTGGTGATTCTTTCCGGCCATCTGATCTTCAGTATAGAGCGAAGACAGTTGTTGATAAAGGTCTGCAACCTGTTGGAAATATTCTTTGTGACCCGCCAGGTTTCTGATCCGTATAGAAGAACTGACTTGACGTTTGTATTGAAAATCCGAATTTTGTTGTTGATTCTGAGTGACGAAGATTTCCAGATTGGTTTCAGGCTAATGAATGTGTTTCTCGCCTTCCCGATTCTCGATTTGACATACTCGTCCGTTCCCCCTGTAGTTGAGACAATGCTTCCTAGATAAGTGAATGAAGTAACCTGTTTCAAATCCCTCCCGTTGATGGTGATTGGCGCTGGATGTTGCTGTTGTTGTTGGTGGTGCTGGTTGGTCATTTTCATAACCTCCGTCTTGTCTATGTTTACCTGGAGTCCTGTCTTTGCTCCTTCTTCGACCAGTTTGTCATTTTCGCTTGTAAGTCTTCGATTTTGTGTGACATCAAACATAAATCATCCGCGAAATCCAGGTCTTCTAGATACTTCACGTCGGTCCAGGATATCCCTGCCTTCTCGTTTCCTACTGTCTGACGCATAATCCAGTCCATCACAATCAGGAATATCATTCGTGACAATAAGCACCCTTGTCTGACTCCTGTGTATACTCCAAACGCCTCGCTGAGTTTTCCGTTGTGGATCACTTGACATGTGCCGTTGCCGTACAGTTGTTGAATAAGGTTGATGAATATTTGGGGTACGCCGTAGTACTTCAGTAGTTTCCAAATTACTTCGAGATCAACGCTGTCGAAGGCCTTCTCAAAGTCTATGAAGTTGAGGTAGAGATTTGATTGCCATCCCATGATTTGTTCGATGATGATGGGCAGAGTTGCGATTTGGTCAGAACATGATTTACCTTTCCTGAATCCAGCTTGTTCTGGTCGGAGTTCTGTATCCAGTGCGTCCTTTATTCTCTCCAGGATGATGCGACTCAGAATTTTACTTGGCGTCGACAGCAGCATGATTCCTCGCCAGTTCTTGCAGAGTCCTAGGTCGCCCTTCTTTGGTAGTTTCACGAGGTAACCTTTCCTCCAGTCAGTAGGCACTTTTTTGCAATAATGGAGTCATCATATCTGCTGTCGTTTCTGGGTCCGCTTTCAGTGCTTCAGGAGGTATTCCATCTGGTCCAGCTGCTTTTCCAGCTTTCAGAAGCTTGATTGCATTCAAGACTTCAGCTTTCGTTGGAGGATTGGTGTCATCATCAGCGAGCCACACTTTATTTTAGAGACGGGCAAACAGAACATTTTGTGTACAATACTTATTTTCAACAATTTTCTCATCAGACTCTTTGTGGTTTTCATGCTACACTTCCTGATATAGTACTGTAATGACAGAAGACAAGGAACAGGCAACAGATAGTTTATGGAGAAAATCAACAGATAATTATTTTTTTGTACGTTATTATTCGTTATTGTTAGCAGAGAAGCGACGTCTTCTGATTGGTTGTTTTCCTGCTGAAGGTTATTCTGTCATCTCTTTGTTGCCGTTTCTTAGACAGTCCTGTAATAGATCTGCGAATCTTATTTGCGCACGCTAAGCCTGTTGTGATTGCTTGTTGAGTTCCTCAAGGTTAGTATTTGTTCTTGTTTTTTCCCATGACCAAGATTTGGGATGTAAAAATTGACGTAAATTACTGTCTACCAATTTTGGCTAGCAGACAGCTCTCATCACAGTACAAGTGAATATTTTAATAAGTGATGAAATCTCTTAAGCGGTAATTTCGTTGCAATTATGACACTTCATGAATACCAGAAGGGTGAGTATCTCGCCAGACTAACTGAGACGGAAGTCAAAGTTCTCTGTAGATTTATTTATAAGCTGACTTCTTTCTAAAACATATAAGTATGCTAATGTTCTTCTGGTGTTTTTATTTGTTTTTCTGTGTTCCAACCAGAAAGTGATACTTTGTCGTGTATGTCTTCCACCGATTGAGAATTTCATTGACAATCCATGGGAAGCTGTGCTTAAATCAATGATCAAGGTAAGTGACAAGGAGTTGACAAAAGCAACACTCTTTGAGACTCAGACTGTAATCATATTGATTTTTGACCACTTGTCATATGAATAATCGGTATGTAATTAATTGCCCAGTCAGATCTTCTCACGCTTCAATTATGATTGGTAAGAACTGAAATGGATAGTGAGAATGTGACCGGTAGTCCTGTGAGAAAAACCTGTCTTAGCCTTAATTTAGTCGGCTGATTCGATATCATAATCAGATGAGGTACTCATAGTTAGAATTGAAACGACAACAGACTTTTGTTTAAAATACTTTCATCAAGGATTAGAACTGTGGCTCAAGTTTTGTTTATTCTCATTACATTTACATTTAAACAAAACGGTACAAAGATTAAGCTTCATTTTGTCCTGCTATCGTCACTCGGATGGTCCTAAAAGTTGGGATGTGGTTGAAATCAGTCTAATATAACCTTTTGAATATTATTCACTCAGTAGTGTCACATCACTAAACTTATTCATCAAGGTACACCTTGTCAAAAACTGTATTATTTACACAAATCACTTCTCGGATCACGTGGAAACTGATGATTTTGAACAAAAGCCTATTTCAAACTAGACCGAATAATTCGTTACCGAACTAGTGATGATTGGAAATAGTAAAACCAGTTTCTGGCTAATTTAGGTATTTCAACATATTTTATGCCATTAGAGTTCATCATCACTACCAATGATATGCCTTAAGTCAATTAAATAACTCAGGAGTGTTCACGAATTGACTTCAGTTACAGAACTATTGAAAACCAACTAGTACTGAACATCTGTTTCGTCCCAGTTTGGGACTCTTCAACAGTAAGCATCCAATAACCTCACCAAGGATTGAACCCAGGACTTTCAGGTTATCAGGCAAGCTCGAATGCCATTCGGCCACTGGGATTCATCAGTTCTAATTTCTGCCGACTCGTGATATGTAACGCAATCGCCGTTCACGACTTGTCACTAGATCTTCGGGCAATTTCATCCTCCAGTCAATTCCCAGTGAACATTGAATAAATTTGTGGAACAGTACCATACAGGAGAAAAGATCGTTTGAAGAGCAGTCGAGTAAACTGCATATTTGGTCATGTTGAAGTAAAGGATGACCAGCTACATACGCAACATCATATATTTAGCGTATACATTGTGTGTACAGCATATATATTTTGATAATTCACAATACTTAATATTTTACAAATAATATGATGTTTTTTAGAAAAATATCTTACTCATATTAATGGTCGTCTTGTATATGAAATCTAATTTATCCTAGGAAACTTTGATTGATTACTGGAAACCAAATGCGAAATAAACACAATAGTCATTAAATGCTCTAGGAAGAAAATTATATACACATCCCCTTCCGATGTACAAATTATTGCGAGAATAAATATGTTTTCTACCTACGCAGTTCATATTTCTCTTATTTAATATATGTGATAATAATGACTTTATTCTGAGTAATACAGTGAAGAATCTTAAGTATGCTTTACCTACTGCTTGTACAGTATTTTGCAGTAAAATAGTAATCTCTACTTTGTAGGGATTTGTTTTGTTTTTCATGTTTGATCATGGATTAATGTTCGTTAGAGATCCAGTGAAAACCATGGAATAGTAGACAGATATTTCTCTCTAGCTTTGGTATCTTCAGCAGTTCATACCCTCTACCTCACCGGGAATCGAACCCAAAACCTTTTAGGTTACGAGGAGCAACTGGTTGACTGGGCTGGAATTGAATGACCCGGTTGCTGCTTATGTATGCAGAGTTTGTGTAATGTATTTGAATTAGCTGACCCAACCTAGTGAGAAACAGCTCTCCAGGATTCTCAATAGTCCTCTAGCTAATGTCACTTCTTCATCTAACTTGAAAATAATCAAAACTCTAAAAATTCAATACTTGAAAATTCTGAAGTCGTTTGGTGGATGATGACTAACAGCAGTGGAATCCTACTTGTGACCCGTCCTCTAGGATGTGCCTTCATTCCCCAGTGAGTGAACGATAGTGTTCCAGCCGAGGCTCGAAACCAGTGCCCAACATGTGTTACGTGTACCAAGACATCGCCTTCCTCGACGGGCAATGTTAGCTGACTGACATAGGATCAGGTTGAATAAGAGCCAGTGGTAGTCGAACCAAAACATGGCTTCATCAGTCAGTGAAATCCACAACAGTTAGTTTAAGCCAGTCACGTGGGTAGATGTCGACTTCCTGACTGGTTGGGGTCTTTGGGATGGTAAAAGCCAATGGCTGGAGAAAATCGGTGATACGACTCAAAATCGTTTTCAATGGCTGGCGCAGATGCATTCACTCTGTATGATTTACTACATCCAATAATACTCTATTAATTTTTCATATTACTATTCTTTTTACCTCATATTTCTGTTTATTATCTCCGTTTTGAATCTTTCTCTACTCACTTCTCTTGCTTTGTGTGCAACATGGAGGGAGTGTGGCAACTCGAAGTGCTGCACATCTGTGCGAATTCCTACGTTGAAACCAGTCAGTCAATCCAGTGTCCATAGTTTCAAACATCAAAGCGTTGTTCACCAAATCACTTGGGCCACGAGAGCCATTTCTTGTTCAACAGGTCTTATTATTTATTTTATTTAATTTCAGATTTTCCCGTCGATTGATAGGACCAAAGTGGTCGGTCTCAGGTTGGCATGTCGGCTGCTTGTGCAGATGCATCGACGATGTCTGGTCATGTAACTCGTAGTCATTGGTGGAGGGTGACTAGCAGTGGAATCTAGATGACGGATGCTGAATGGGACGAAATGCGCATCCTGGATTCCACTGCTAGTCACTGTCTACCAATGACTTCGAGTCACATGACCAGACATCGTCAAAGCATCTGCACAAGGATCCAACATGTCAACCAGAGACCGAACACTTTGGTTCAATCAATCGACAGAAAAATCTAAAATTGAATTCAATACTTGAAAATTCTGTTTACAGTAAAACAAAATTCGGTGTTAAACCAATATTATCCTCTGATTATTACCAATGTATCACACACACATCACCAGTAGTAAAATTTTGGACTAGAAGCGCACAATAAGAATTACTCCTTCAAGCTATCCAATCTTCCTTCTATACAGCTTCAAAGCCAACAATTTAAAAATCAAATTTCACAGTAAATCTTTATTATATTCACAAAGAAGACCTATTGGAAACAAATTCATACTTATATTAGAATTATTCAATTGTATTGGAAGAGCACGTAGAATATATATGCGGGAGACGAAAAAAACAAACGACGTTTGGTGTGAAAAAATTGCCTAGAAGGCAGTCGACTATTCAGTGTTCAACATTTTGAAGTACTAAAATAACAAACAGTATAATTTACATACAATTCAATAGGGTATTGAAGAACAAAAATGTCCACCGTTTGTAAACAGGAATTAACTTGACTTGAAATATCAATCATAAGAAAGGATAAATTAACGAGAACTGTTAAGATGAATGTATATCTGGGGGGGAAACTTAGAATTGAAGGTCATTCGGCAATCTTTTTTGTTCGCTTCTCTGTTCTGTTTCTTCTTATTTCAGAAGAAATTGATCGAAGAACACTATATATATGTATATATATATATATATATATTATATTATATTAAATGCAATACGACATTTTTCCCATTCTTCGTTCAATATTTATTATTATTGATATTATTTCATCGCTTACGAATCATTGGTTTGGCTACCTAGAAAAAAAGATGGCCAATAATGCGTAGACGAAATAATTAGTGACCATTTCATTCTTCCGAAAATGAAAGCTAAGAAAAAGTGAATCATTTAATAGTCTGAAGTTGAACAAGAAAAACTCAGGGTTGTGGCGCGAAACTAACCAACCAGTTGGGAGACGACTTTTAAGCGATTTAACTTGGAAGACGATACTCCTGCGGTAGAATTCGTCGTTCACTTGGTTGAGCTCGAAATTTAGCAAGATTATCTCACATAGTTTAATCGATGGCAAAGTATACTATTTTCATACAAGTAAGGTTACTGGTAGGTGATACAGTTGTAAATCTTGAAATGGCAGAAGTTAGAATTGACGAGTCATTGGATTCTGTCCCATTGGGCGGATGGTGAACGAGCTTGCCTCACAACCTCAAACTCTTGAGTGCGATCCCTGGTGGGATTACAGGTGCGTGCTGATGAAGGGTCTCACACTAGAAGGAAACATCTGTCCAGTCCTCACTGGTTTTTCAATATATATATATATATATATATGTACGATGACTTACGAGGAACACTCACAAAAATTGATAATTAGGTTTTATTTTTTAAGCAGTACACCAGGAAGGTACTGATGAGAAAGTATCTATATAGAAGACAGTTATAGAAGGTTGGTATTTTGTTGTTCATTGTAATGATTGGTAAAGTCATATTGGAAGTATGTAGTTACCAATGACTGATAAATTAACGTAAAACTGTCATCTACAGATATTTATCAGATCAAGTTACCATGCGTCTGTAAAGTCAACAAAAAATGAGAGGAAGATTTAGTGATGCTGAAATGGATAACTGTTGAGACCGAAATAATGCTGGACTTTTTTCATTTGACAGTGAAGATTATATCAGCGGAAACGATAGGTTATGAGGAACTCTGGCAGGTAATGCATCAGTCGACAACCTAATGACCAACCAATACTCAGAAGGAAATCCAGACCGTAGATGTTACAAATTTCCTGGAATAATTTGAGCGCCAAGTCAGGTTGAATCACTTTATAAATTATTTAAAACAATCTAAGCGTATTTAAGAAAAAATCAAAACAAGATTTTTCCCAGCGTTTTGGTATGTAAGCCACAGCTTCCTCAGCAGAATTATTCGGATTTTATTAACCATCAAAAGTTATGGTCGAAAATTGCATACACTGAAGTGAATTCTTTCGAAAGTCACTTTTTGGTAGACATTTGTACCTAGAGAAAAATCTAAACGGTCATCACATATTTCTAATGATCAATGTCAAATTGTAATATATGCATATTTGTATGAGTGTGTATGTTGTTTATTGTATGGGAAACACATCAAAACTTGATAATATTTCACAGTAGTCATAATGTAGGACTGATTTTTTTCCCTCCTTTGTTTTGCTGCATTAGAGACTGCCGTATACGTAATAAGTCTGTCCCTTCTCTCCTATTATTTACTGCATTCGATGTGATTAAAACATGCAAGGCTTCAGAGGTCAGCCTTTTTTATGTGAATGAAAGTTTCTTCCGAAAGTTCCAACTTTGTTGAAATCGATCTTACGTCCGCTGTCTATAGCATACATTGCTATAGCTGAACATTTTTCTAGACACACGCTGAAGAGACATTCAACAGATTATTGAGTGGAAGCCTAATGGGAAGCGGTGAGTTGGGTGTCCGAGGGTGGACAGTCATTGAGCCAGCTGAAAATGATGTCAGGGGACTGATTGAGATGGAGATGTGTCACTGAATTCCTATTTTCCACTCAAAATGCAATGAATGCATAATAATAATCTCATTCTCTGTTTAAATTCATGTAAAAAAATCAGTCTGATTCAGAAAATGTGTACAAATCGCAGAAATAGAAAATACTAAAATTGGAATATTAAGTCAGCGAAGAAAGTGATAAATGGGGAAATCATTGTTCGCTTTTTCCAGAGACTGGCAGTGTGTTCTCTTTCACTAAAAAAGCTATTCTTTTATCGAATTATACTGTCCGGTACTGACTAACTTTAATATCTATAACGAAAATGATCATTTTTAAGTGTTGGCTAGCAGGGATTTTATTGGCTACAGATTGGATCACACGCTGACATCAGTTAGAGTATCATTCGAAAACCAGGCAGTACTGAACAGACATTTCATCCTAGTTTAAAACTCTTCATCAGTACGCATCTACCAGAGTTCGAACCCAGGAGCCTCCGTTACAAGGCCAGCTCGTAGACCAATGGAAATGAAAATCCCAAAAATAAGTCATACAATTCTAACTCTGTGAACATTCAATCCAATAGTACTTGTGCTAGCCTTTTAACTTGGCTTCCAATTGGTAGGATTATGTGGTTTTGGGGCCCTATTTAGCATCATTTCCTCTTAAACAAAAGATGTGACATATGCCTTCTGAGATGCATTAGGGATATGGGCTATTATATATATATATATATATATATATATATATATATATATATATATGGGTAGCAGTACACAATACCGTTGCCAGTATTTCTATTGAAAGATATAGTTTGTATGATTTGTTGATACTGCTCGATGAACTACTAATAGCCAGTTATTGAGTAGTATATTTTAAGCCTTTGCGAAATTAATACCACATAATTAATATTTTATC